TCACATGGGAGTGATGTCCCTAAGACCCTGTACTAACTCCTAGCCATTGTCGAATCCCACCCACGTTTCCACTGGCCTTCTTTTCCCTGCCATGTGCAGCTGGAGTGTTTCATGCACTGAACTCATCAGCTGTCACCAGCAAGTTGAAGCCGGGTCTAGTCAGGCTAGTGTGTGGATGTTTGACCTCTGAGAAAACATCTAAGAGTTGTGTAGGAAGAGATGCTGCTGACTTAAGTCAGTCTACCCAGCCTAAGGTCATCCTAATGGCTGCTTTCCAATAAAGACAGAGATTGAGCTATCGAATGAGATAGAGATAGAGCACAGATACTACATTACATCTTTTAAAATTCTTATTTTATTATTCAGTGAGCAGGAATAGACTAAATAGGTCCTTCTTTTCTAATAAATGTTCATCTTGGAGATGTTTTTCCTGTGTTGATTCTTTAAATGTGTAAGTGCACACAAACAGATGGGGAACTTTGCCTGAGTAAGGACTGTGGAATTACTTTGGGGGCAACTTCCTGCCCCTTGGAATGCAGTGGGAACGTTCCCACAATGGGAGGGGGCCTCGAGCAGGGCACTCCATGCAGGAGGCATCTGCAGCCATAACTCCTCTCAAGATGCTATCAGTGTCTCCAACAGCCAAAGGCCACTGTACCCTCAGCTGGTCCCAATCATATTCCACAAAACTCATTTGCAGCATAAGCAAAAGAGTGTGTGCGTGCGTGTGTGTGCAGTGTGTGTGTGTGTGTGTGTGTGTGTGTAAACAGCAAGGCAACATCAGACCTCTCACTGTGTGGGCTGAAATCCAAACTTATATTAATTTGAGCTTAAAATATTCCCATGGAGAAGATGCATATTGAAAAAAAGGTGATCGTGCTTTGAAACTTCTTCAAGGAGGTTATTCTCACTTTCATGAGGTTCAGGGAAACTTAACCACAAGCTGACAAAGCAGCAAATGAAGACAAATTCATTCATTCACTCAACCAATAATTGCTGGATGTCTAGTATGTGTGACATACTATGTGAGAGGTAGCTCCAGACCACGACCTTCCACTTACCACTATACACTAGCACCCAGAACAGAACCTGGGATATAGGTGGTGTTCCTATGTTTGTTGGATTAACACACATGAACAGGAATTTGACCATGAATGCTTTGAAAGCTTCATGAAATTCTTTGGAGACAAAGCAAAACATAATATATCCACTCATTCACCCAATTTGATGAGTGGGGATATGAAGAGAAATAAGATGTGCCTCAGCCTCTGGGAAGCTTACATTCTGGTTGAGAATCAGCAAAGGCCAAAGCATAACGATGCCGAAGGCCTGGCATATTTAAGAAACTACAAGTAGCCGAACCGGTTTGGCTCAGTGGATAGAGCATCGGCCTGCGGACTCAGGGGTCCCAGGTTCGATTCCGGTCAGGGGCATGTACCTTGGTTGCGGGCACATCCCCAGTGGGGGGCGTGCAGGAGGCAGCTGATCGATCTCTCTCATTGATGTTTCTAACTCTCTGTCCCTCTTCCTTCTTCTCTGTAAAAAATCAATAAAATATATTTAAAAAAAAAAAAAGAAAGAAACTACAAGTATTTTTCTGTGATGGGAGCAAGTGTCAGGATAACAGGTGATGAAGCTGAAGAGATAGGAAAGTTTGGGGTAGGATCTAAGGGTGTTTTTTATCCTGACAGTGACAGGGGGATGTGCAGGTGGCAAAGATGGAATCTAGGCAGAGGCGCAATAGGATTAAATTTGTGATTTGGGAAGTTCACTCTGGCTACAGAGTGGAGGAGAGACTGGAGGGAGTCAAGGTTGGTTGGAGAGCTAATGCAGGTGTCCAGGCCTTGATTTGGGCAATCATTGTGAGGAAGGACAGAAGGTGATAATTCCATGAGCCATGAAAGTGTTATCAGGAAGTGGAGTTCTTGGGGTGCTGAGAGAAAAGAATTTCCTGAGGGCCCCACGAGTGGATGGGGTTTCATGGAAAGCTTTATTGATAATATAAAATTCAGGAGGTTCCCCTCAAGGTCCCATCTCTGTCCATCTCGCCATGGCAGAAGTCCAATCTTGTCTTCAGCCGGGCTAGAATTATGGCCACTGCCCAGAGTTCCTGCTCCATATTAAAGTCCAGTCCCGCCCTGACTGGTTTGGCTCAATGGATAGAGCGTTGGCCGGTGGACTGAAAGGTCCCAGGTTCGATTCTGGTCAAGGGCATGTACCTTGGTTGCGGGCACATCCCCAGTAGGGAGTGTGCGGGAGGCAGCTGATCGATGTTTCTCTCTCATCAATGTTTCTAACTCTCTGTCCCTCTCCCTTCCTCTCTGTAAAAAATCAATAAAATATATTTTTTTTAAAATAATAAAAAAATAAAGTCCAGTCCCGTTCAGCATCTGGCTAGCTTAGTCCATTGCATGTGGGGCCCACATGGCAATGGGCCATGCAGCTGCTTAAGGCCATGTGGCTGCGGAGAGAGAACAGGTAAGCCCACCGGCAAGTGCAGGTCACAGAGAAAGAGGGAGGGGACTCTGGGGATTTTAACCTGGAGCTTCTTCAAACTGGCCAATTAACAACCCAAGATTTCACACACTCCTCATGGGGTCCACCCCTTAGCCAATCCATTGTTCCCAAGCTAGACTGCCAGGCAAGCACCTCCCCTGTGCCACCCTGACTTCTCCTGCACATGTGCCTGTCTCCCCCTTTACCCCCAACAATCCAGTACTGAAGGGCAGAAGGAGGGGTGTTACTCTCCTTGGAGGAACAATGCTGCAGTTCCTTGGGCTGTGAAGCTGTAACTTGCTTGTGAAACAAACAGGCTGATGCTTCCTGGGTGAATATGCTCAACAATGTCTGGCTCTCCCTTTGCTCTCTTCCTTTATTAACGTTAACTAGCCAATCATGACAATAACAGACGTAGGATGGGCAGGACCTTGTGACGGACTGGAGAGAGAGAAAAATGTCAGTTTCCCTCTAAGCTAAGAGACGCACTGCGGGGACTCTGGCCTACAGGAGGTACTTGTACTTGGTGGCTGGATAGATAAAAAAGGAGGAGGCTCGGGTTTCTAGCTTGTGTTTTTGCTATTATTCAAGGCAGAGAACCTTCACACAGATGCTCGGATTCTCTGTGGTCTGGTCCTGTCCTAGATCTTGCATTATACAGTGGGGCCTTGACTTACGAGTTTAATTCGTTCCGAGACCGAGCTCGTTAAGGAGCTCGTTAACTCAAATTACTCTGTCAACTCCATGCAAAAAATCGGCTGAGAGACAGCTGGTATCTCAAAAAACTCATTAGTCGGGACACTCATAAGTCAAGGCCCCACTGTACTACCATCAGCCCCCTATCATTTCTCAGTCCTGGGTCTTAACTCATACTGTTCCCTCTGCCCTGTAATGCCCTCTCCTGTCTTCATCTCTTTAAGTCAACTCCATTTCAAATGTCACTTCTTCAAAAAAGTATTAGATTCCTTCAACCGCAGATACTTTTAAAATCTAATTTCTTTGTATTTGCCTTACGTCTATTGCTTCGGTTTGTGAGTGAGTGCAACTTTCCCTCATTCATCTTCCTATCTCCTCCAGCCTGGAACCTCGCCTGTAGTAGGATTCAATACATCTTTGTTGGATTGAAACAAAGAGCCAAAAAGATGTCTATCTATGAAGCGGGGATATTATTGCCACCC